CCCCTGGGCTCAGGTAATCCTCTTGCCTCTGCCTCCCAAAGTGCTGAGATTACAAGTGTGAGCCACTGCACAAGCCTGGTTAAATCTTATTACAGCTTATTAGATGGACTATTCAAGCACTGGATTGTTCTCTAATCTTTGTTTATGGCTTATGAACTAGATACCAATAATTTGTGTTTTTCTAGCTTTTGGAGAGATGTAATTTAATCTCTGTCGATATGCTGTTTTTGATAGTTGGCTATAAATATTCTTTGTGATTTAGTGAGTGAGACTCTTTTCAGTATCTCAGTCATTTAGGGAATGGTTCATAAATCCCTATTAGGCCTCAGTGAATGTATACATCTTGAGGAATAATTCCCAGTGCTTTTAGGAATATTGTAGATTGCTGATTTATTAAAAGTATAACTGGCCATAGGCTTATTCTTCTCTATGTGTATTTATAGGCACTTGTTCAGCAAGTCCCTAAAGAATTTGCTGAACTCACTTGTCTGAATCAGTGGTGTAATGAACAAGAACAAGATGTCAAATGTAATCTCCATTAATAATAAAAGATCATACAAGCTGAATACCATTTTGATAGTGGTGGCATAAGAATGTTTTTAAAATTCTAGATAGTGTAGTGTTTGTATGAGAGAGAAAAATTCTTGCTATATTCCCATTTTGTGTAATGCTATCTGATATAGAGTAGATGTTCTGTAAATACTTATTGATCAAATGAATGAGTTATGGATTGGGGTCCAATCACGGCCTCTCCATTTCTATTGTATATTACATTGAACCTGACCTAACTTTTATGATAGTGACTCTATCCTTCACATTTCTAGCTATATCTTTTTTGTACTCCAGCCTTACTTCTACTTAATGAGGGGCCCAGGAGGAGATTGTGGGACAGTGCATATTATATAAAGTTGTAACATATTCTTTGTGCATGGCTGTTGATTGAAATATTTCAATTGTGTAATAGTTTTTTTCTGATTCTAAAAATTATACATACTTGTAGAAAAGTTGTTCAGTTTAGAAAATAACTCAAAATAAAAATCACATGTGATTCAGAGGTAATTGGTTAATATTTTGTATGTTTTTAAAAATAAAAATTTTAATGACTATTTGCATCAGGGTTCAGTCAAGAAAGAAACCACTAAAAGGATTTTAGCAGGGAGGGATTTAATACAGGGAATTGGAGCTTGTGAAACCACTAGAAGATTTGGGGGCAGACAGATGAAAGAAAACTGTTGTTGGCTTTCAGAACAGCAGCACATGCAAGAATCACAGAAAGGAGCCATTGATAATCTCCCTAAGTGATTTGCAGGAATGTGCCTGGAAGTTGCTGTAAACCTTCCATCTACAGTTTGCCCCTGTGTCTGCCCACCACTGACAGTGGAGAATAAGAACTTCTTCTTCTCACCTTCCAGGTCTTGCATAAGTGCCTCTCACTGGCAGAATCTAACGCAGAACACTTCTGACAAGGGAGTCTGGGAACTATAGTTTTGGGGCCTCAGTCCTTATGACACAATGACCATTCACAAGGAGGATAAAGATCCATTTATATAGCCTCTTTTCCTTATACCAATCCTCCAACATTTTCCACGATGTCTCTCACCACTAGCCACTTCCTTTGAATATCTGACCATCTCTTATTCCAGGCACAAGTCCCCCAATATTTTGTTTGAAATTCTGCCAAGCTTTTCCTTCCTTAATACTCTTTAGGGCTATTCCTGAGTGAACTATTAGCATCAGCAATCTTGTTCCAGAAGGTGTCAGCATATTGGTGTGATCATCTGTAAGCCAGGCCTGGCTTTTTCTCCCTTAGCCCATCTAGTTATTAAGAACTCTCTTAGCCAGGTGTAGTAGTGCATGCCTGTAGTTCCAAGTCCTTGGAAGGCTGAGGTGGAAGGATCTTCTGAGCCCAGCAGGTTGAGGCTGTGGTGGCTGTGAGGATGCCACTGCCCTCCAGCCTGAGTGACAGAGTGAGACTCCAACTCAAAAAACAAAACAAAACAAAAAAACACAAGATCTCTCCAAGAGGCCATAGAGTTTTTTTTAAAAAAATTATTATTATTTTTCTAGAACCAGGGTCTCACTATATTGCCCAGCTTGGCTTTGAACTCCTGGACTCAAGCAATCCTCTCACTTCGGCCTCCCAAGTAGATGGAACTACAGGTACACCAATGTGCCCAGTAAAGAAGCCATTGTAACTTTTTTGTGCCTTTAGAACCTATTCAAGCCTGGTATCTATAATCCCCTTCCTCTCGAAGTTGCATTGCTGCTCTTGTGCCCACCTTTCTGGCATGGTGCTCATGACAGGGTGCTCAGATTGCAGGGTCACTTAATGTCCCAAACCTAGGCATTATGTTTCTATTAGAACTCAGTAGCAAGGCATCATCTTCTACTCAAAGGAGGAATGATGGTCTCAGAACCGGGCATTACTTAGCTCTAAATCCCTAGGTGTCCATTCTGTGACTCTCCTACTGGGGTTTGACAGAGGCTTCATACAGCTCTTCTGCCACAGATACTTTGAGCACCATTGGATCTGCTAAGCTGCAAGTCTCCCAGGGCAGAACAGTTTTACTACAGATTGGACCAACTGCAGAACCTTCCCTGGCTCTGCACTGCACTCAGAGAATATACCCTTACCTATGATTTGGTAGAAATTTAGAAGTAATTTTCAGATGTGGTAGGAGTTGCCTCCCAAATTCAAGGAGGTCTGAATTTTAAGGGACAGGGGTGGCACTGAAGACAGATAGATCATATCCAGCACCCTAGCTCTGCTCTTTGTATTGGGCTGTCACTGCATATATCGTGTTGTACTCAAGAGCATTGTAGAGACTTTACTTCTTAGGTGGTTACATCTCTAGCCTTATTAAGCCACATCCCTGTGGTTTAGCCTAAAAACCATAATGAGGGAGCTCTACGAATCATTTGAACCTCTGTTCAAAAGAATGATAGTGCAGTTTCTTTGAGGGGGTTTTGCATTTTATAGCATGTAAGGAAGCTTTTGCACGTGTTTTTAAGCTTTAATAAGACCTAGCTTTCTTCTTTGCCTGGATAGATGTGATGCCAGCATAGCCAGACTCTCCGCAGAGCACAAAACGACCTATGAGGGGCTCCAGCACTTGAACAAAGAGCAGCAAGCTGCCAAACTTATCCTGGAAACCAAAATCAAAGACGCAGAGGGACAGGTATGATCTGTTTCTGGTAGCTTTTAAAAGTGGGTAATTTGTTCTTAGCTAAGAATAACGTGGTGCTGATTATGTCCTACAGGAGAAACCAGCTGGGCACTCAGCTTGGGTTTATGCAAATCATAAGTATCTAATTTCTTTACTCCTTCCTTCCCTGTTTTACTGGAGTGGCCCTTCAGGAGTCTGGCAACCAGACCACCAAAATGTTTCAGAACAGTCCTGATTGTAAAGATTATCCCTCCCCCATTCCTAAACAATGCTCATATTTCAGAAATTCTAAGTTACAACTCCTATGCAAGACTATCTCTTGCATAGGCAAGTGATCAAGCATTCCTTTACATGCCATGTATCCCAATTTGGGGCTCAGAAAATAGTTACTGTGTTTACTGGGACTCATCACATATACTAACTTCACCAAACAGTCTGTATGTGGGACAAAATTAGGACAAAGTTAGAGAGTGGACTGGCTAATTAATTTGAAGGTATTTGACCTTGAAATTCACAGATTAATTTCACAAAGCCAAACTCTTGGCATTTCACAGTTTGTTTTGAGGCCACTTACAAGTTTCCCTTTGTAAGTGGCCTCAAAACAAACTGTCTTCTAGCACTTCTAGTACCTGCCTCATTTGCTATTCTTCATTTAAAGAGAGATTATTCCAGTAAGATAGGGGGCTTCTGGTCAACTTAATTGGATTAAAAATATTTATACTCTACCTCCAATAAGGATCTAAAGCTACTCATGAATCTTTAAGTAAGGAACATAGAATGCCATAATTTTTGCAGAAAGTGCAGACATTTGACATGTAACAAGTTTTATTTTAAATCCTTGTAAAAAGGACAAGAGATATGCATCAGTAATGGGAGAGAGGAGCAGGATGGATGTAATCTGAAAATTCCATTTACTGGTGACCTGGCTTGGTATGTCAGGGTCTGAATAACTCTCAGCTCCTCCCCTTGATACCAGTAAGTCAAAGGGGCAGGGAATTGGTAGAAAGTTTATTTCTGAGTTTGAGTTCAGGGAGCACAGCCAGATTCGAGGTCTTTCTAAAATGGTTCTGCTCACCCTCCAGGCTTTTAGAGTTCACTTTTATAAGTTCAGAGTTGTACCTACATGTTAGCCAGGTGACCAGCAGAGCTTTGCATAGAACTTGAGTTTCAACCACATTTATCAATAGTGACATTTTTGAGTCCAGACTTCCTGGTGCCAGGTATCAGAAGGATCTGATAGTTTGTATCAGTAGGGCCTGGCAGAAGTGGTAAGTTGTTGGGAACCGGCCACGGAGGCCCACTGAGCGTTAGGGATCAGGAAGGGCCGTTGACCCTGAGACCACTAGGATGCGTTCGGGAGCTATTGACCCCATTTCCTCTCCCTTTCTACTCAGCACTAACCAGATTAAGCTCCTGTGAGCTCAAAACATGGAAACTCTGAGATCAGGATGAACACAAGCTAACTTTAGTAGCTCATTGCTCCCATTCTTCCACAAACTGCAGTTTTGGCTTTCACACAACTTATAATTCAAACTCGTGTCACATTGAAGAGCCTTAGTATTGGTCACAGGCTTCTGGGTCATGATCTTAGGATTTATTGAAGGTGTAAATTGTAGAATACAGCTTTAGAAGACAGCCATTTTGTTGAAAGAATGCGGTTGGGTTACTTGCAGGTAGCCCACTGTGAACTTTAGACTGGGCCACATTCCAAACATTCTGGGATGGGCCACTTTCGTTTGTAAAGTAAATACTTAAGCTTCTATAGAATTATTTAACTTGGCATAAATCAGTCAGCTTAGTATGAAAAAGGTTTATAGAATATGTCAGTCACAGATTAGGTTATCCTTTGTTGTGGGATTTTAAGATTATCATATGAAAAGGGTTTAAAGGCAATCATTGATTAAGTTTTCATGGATTAAGGTTTCTGGTGGGTGGGGGACGCCCCTCCCACATCTTACTTTGTGTATAAAAGACCTGTTGTAATTCCCAATAACACACACACATCACTTCTGCACTAGACTGGAGTCCAGTCTCTTTCTTTCTCTCTCTCTCTCTCTCTCTCTCTTTCTTCTTCCCCTAATCGCCGACACCGTCTCCACCTTTGGGGTACCCTGAACCTGGCTGAAGCTGGTCTCCGGCAGTAAGCAAGCTTACTATGGAGTAAAGGGAATTTACAAGGTCTAAGACATCATGTATTACGAAAAAGTTATACAAATCACAAGATGTATGGTTACATTGATACAAAAGTTATACAAATCACAGGACTTACGATTACATTGTTACTATATTATTCAAACTTGTAGCCACTCAGAAAAAGGGAGTAAATGGAGATTTGCATCTTTCAATTGATTGGGCATAGACTACAGGGAAGTCAAATATCCCCTGAAGCTATTTACTGGGAGTGCATAGGAGATAAGGGCAACTTTATTAACTCTTAGGAATATTGTTCAAGAATGTACAGGAGCGCTTGCGCCCTTACCATGCCCTTCTCTAGGGGCTGTGACAAAATGGACAGATATTAGTGGGTCTCTGTATCAGATATGGAGGTAAATCTGGGACCTTGATGGACTTTGTAAATATTCAAAGTTCCATTTTCTGTAACAAGCAGCCATATTGATGGTAGAAATTCCAAGGTAAAGTTGACTGTATTTCATGCCAGTTGGTGGAAGCAGTGGTCCTAGATGGGAATTGGGCTTGCTCATCAGAGCACTATAAAGTAAAGTGCTTCATGCATGATGGATATTTTGGCAGTGCTCTGGTCTTGATTTTTGGTGGGTGTGTAAGAAAGAAAATGGAGGTGGAAAGATGAGGTGAACTTCTAAATGAACTTCTTAAATTAGATCGAATCTTAATGCCATTGACTAGAATATAGCTTATTAAATGTTCTCTGAAATTGTATCTGAAGAGGTTAGATGTGATATTTATAGCAAGCTTTCTTTTCCAGATTTCTCAGCTTTTGAACAGAGTGGACTTGTCAATATCAGAGCAGAGCACCAAACTGAAGATGTCCCACAGAGATAGTAACCACCAGCTTCAGCTTTTGGACACTAAGTAAGTCATCAATTTAGAAAAAAAAAATTTTTGTTGAAGTTTTTTGGGGTTTTTTTTGAGTGAGACTCTCACATTGTCACCCAGGCTGGAGTGCAGTATCACGCTCATGGCCACCACAACCTAGGCCTGCTGGGCTCAGGTGATCCTTCCACCTTAGCCTTCCAGGTAGCTGGAACTACAGATATGCACCACCACACCTGGCTAATTTTTTTTTTTGTAGAGATAAGATGTCACCACGTTACCCAGGCTGGTCTCAAACCCGTGGGCTCAGGCAATCCTCTTGCCTCTCCTTCCAAAGTGCTGGGATTACAGGTGTGAGCTGCCACTCCCAGCTTGGTTGAAGTTCTTTGTGAGTTTGTGCAATACTATAATTCTTTTCTCTTGGTTTTTATTTATTGCACAAAGTGAAAACAATAATGGAAGCTAAAAGGAAACGTTTCCATGAAGTATGTTATCACTGTTTATCCATAATTATTGTTTTGTGGTTAGATAATACTCCATTTATTCATTTAGCAAGTATTTATTGATTACTTGCCTAGGGACTGAGGATCTAGCAATGACAAAAACCAGACTCTGTTTTTTTTGTTTGTATGTTTGTTCATTTTTTAAAAATCCTTGTGGAGATTATGGTCTAGTGACTTCAATAAGCATTTGCTTCAATAATGACTTCAATAAGCATTTGCTATGTTATTACTAATGGTGACACGTGCTTTGAAGGAAAGGTACATGGTTGTGGTAAGCCGAATAATGGTTCCCCAAATATCCCCTTGTCCTAATGTCTGGAACTTGTGAATGCGTTACCTCATATGGCAAAAGGGGACTCTGCAGATGTGATTAAGTTACAAATTTTAAAATGGGTAGGTTATCCTGGGTGATCCAAGTGAGCCTGATGTAATCACTAGAGTCCTTATAAGAGGGAGCGGGGGAGGTTAGCGCAAAGAGAGGCCATGTGAGAACGGAAGTGAGATTGGAGTGATACTCTGAAGATGGAGGAAGGGGTTAAAGCCAAGGAATACAAGTGGCAAGGAAATGATTTTCTCCTCCGAGCCTCCAGAAGGAACCAGAAGGTTTTTATTTATTACACAATATTGCAGACTTTGACTTTACTCCAGTGAAACCTATTTTAGGCTTGTCATTTTCAGAACTGGAGGAGAATAAATTTGTGCTGTTTCATGCTACCAAGTTTGTGGTAATTTGTTAGAGCACTCATAGGAAATGAATACAGCGGCACTATGATTCTGAGTACCAGAGTCCCAGTTGTGGGGCGTTTCTAAGGAAGGAATGTTTGAGGTGAGAGCTGACGAATGAATGGGCTTTACTACATAAAGAGGAGGAGGAGAATATTCACAGTTGAATAGCTTGTCGTGGGAGGAATGTGGTATGCAAGAAACTGGAAGGTGACAAGGGTGGTTGGAATGGAGAGTGATGGTAACTTAATGGGATGGTAGGATGTGAGGCTGGAGCGGAGGTGGACTGGCTTGCAGGGGTAAATTTTTATGACAGCAATAGAAAACAAATAGGACAGAGTGGTCCTCATCAGAATTCTATGAGAGACAATAGATCTCAACTAGGATCTGAAAGCAATATCTAAAGAAATAATGGCAAATAATTATTCAGAATTGGTGAAAGAGAAATCTCAAATTTAGAAAGCCAAATATATTCCAGTAGAATAAGCTAAAAAAAAAAAAAAAAGTCTAGACACATTAGAGTAAAACTGCAGAACGCCAAACATAGAAAGAAGATCTTAAAACAGAGAGAACTCAAATCAATACTGATTTCTCAGCCATATTAACAGGGTCTGGAAGCAGGTGGGCCAATACTTACAAATGCTGAGAGGGAACAGGTGTCAACCCAATGGCAAAATAAAGATCCTTCAGACAAATAAGAACTCAAAGTTTACTAATAAACCTTAACAAAGGGAATTTTAAAAAGATAGCCTTTAGGAAAAAGAAAAAACATACAAAAGGAAGGTCTGAAATTTTAATATAACAAGAAGGGGTGAGCAAAGAATTTGATAAACATTGGACAAATCTAAACAAGCAATAATATTAAAGTCTAAACAAAACACTCTACAACCAAAATATTGGTCAATAACAACATGCAGGAGGAAGCTTTCTGAAATTAAAATCTTCTAGGGGGGTTTTCAGGATCAAATTATAGCTATTGAATAATTTTAGACTTTGATAAATGTGTATATTAAAATTTCTACTCTAAAAGAATAAAATTAAAGTGTATAATTTTCAAATGTTAGAAAAAAAATCCAAAGGACAAAAATTCACATCAGATATGCAGAAGTGTTGACAACGATGGGCAGAATAGGACCTCTTTGTACCATTAAGTAAAGTCAGAAATAAGGTAAAGTTGGACATGTTCAGACCCCAGTGAAACTCTTGCATATGTGAACCATAAGTTATGTGTCAGTATTTTAATAACAGCATTATCTTTAATAGTAAAGATGGATAAAAACAAATGTCCATCAATAGAAGAATGGATAAGCAGTGGTACATTCATAAAATGGAATATTACTCAACAATAAAAATGAATTGGCTACAGCTATGTACATCAGCATGGATACATCTCACAGACATAATGTTGAGTGAAAAAAGTAGTTGTAGAAAACTACTGTACTGTGTTCTATGCACTGTATTATTGCTCAGTTTATGTAAAAATTTAAAATACATAATACTGAAAAATCTGCCACTTTGGGATCCAAACTAATAGAATAAAATGATAAAGAACAGTAAATTCCAGTTATGGGTTACTTCTTCGGTTGTGGGGTGGTGGGGAGTACACTCCAGGTATCTAAGAACCCCGCAGTGTTGTATGTCTTTTTTTTGAGTTGGAGTCTCATGGGACTGCCCAAGCTGGAGTGCAATGGCACACTCACGGCTACTGCAGCCTCGACCTGCTGGGCCCAGGCAATCCTTCCACCTCAGTCTTCCAAGGAGCTGGAACTACAGGCATGTGCCACCATGACCAGCTAATGTTTTGATTTATTGTAGAGATGAGGTCTTGCCCAGTTTCCCAGGCTGGTCTCGAACCCATGGGCTCAGGCAATCCTCTCACCTCGGCCTCCCAAAGTGCTGGGATTATAGGCATGAGCCACTGTGCCCAGCCCATGTTGTATGTCTTAACCTGGCTGAGGGGTACACAGTGGTTTAGTGAGGCTGCAGCCTAGCTTCAGCCCTGTGGCTATCCCGTAACAGTGTAGGGATCAGCAGTCCAGAGGAGGCAGGACAGCACTCACAACTCAGGGTGGTTTCTCCGCTTTCCCAGCCAGCTGGAGAGGGACAGAATCCAGGGCAGAAGCTTTGTTTTTCAAGTGCTAAGGAAGGTGTGCTTAGCTCATCCACATGTCACATAGCTACACATTGCACCAAGGGATGCTGGGAAATGTGGTCTCTAGCTAGGCAGCTGTGTACACAGTTGATGTTTGAGGCCTTTTTTTTTTTTTTAGTTGGAGTCTCACTCTTTTGGCCAGACTGGAGTGCAGTGGCACACTCAAGGCCACCGCAGCCTCGGCCTGCTGTGCTTAGGCGGTCCTTCTGACTCAGCCTTCTGAGTAGCTGGAACCACAGACATGTGCTCCCATGCCCAGATTATTGTTATTATTATTCTGGTTTATTGTAGAGACGAGGTCTCACCAAGTTGCCCAGGCTGGTCTTGGGCCTCTGGGCTCAGGCAATCCTCTCGCCTGGGTCTCCCAAAGTGCTGGGATTACAGGCTGAGGCACTGCACCCGGCCAAGGCCTTTTAATATGGAAGAGGCAAACAGATATTGCAGGACAATTCATGGCTCTACTCCAGTGGGTCTTCCTGCTATTCTTATTTAAGTTGCATATCTATATCACATAAAATCTTCTGTACTCTTATCACATATAATAAAAATTACAAAGAAGTAATTAAGGGGAGGGAGCATGTGTGGATGGTTATTATAAGGAATTTGGAAAGGAAAGGGGACCCAGAGGAGTGGAAGTTTGGGAGGGTTTTTTTTTTTCTTCCGGTTTTTCTTTTGATTTAAATGAGGAAATATCCATGTGGGGCAAGAGCAATCTGGGGGAGCATTAGAGAGATAGCGAGCCATGTTCTAGTCCTGGGAGATAAAAGGGGCAACAAGGAAGAGCACGGGGAAGGCAAGAGTCTGGAGAGGAGAGGAGAGGAGATGGGAGACACTGTGTCCTCTGAGCCAGGAGCACTGTGGACCCTTGGAACTGCAAAAGTTAGCACCTGAGGCAGCTCTGTGTCATTGTGTGTCACTTTAGTGCCTGTGTTACCAACTCCTTATGGGTAGGAAGCATTCCCAGGTGCTTTTTGGTTGAATCCTCTCTCCTTTCCTCTCCTGACTTAGTGCCAAGTGGAATTCTAAGAGGTAAAGCACATTCTCTACCAATAACTTGGAGGGAAAAAAAAGCATGTAATTCTGATTCAGTTGAGTTTAATGCTGGTTTAATTACCAGAAATCAATATTTGGAGGTTGAGGTTGTTTGATATCCTTTAAAAAATGTTTAAATTGACCTTGCTAATTTACCTTTTTTTTAAAATTTAGATTTAAAGGTACAGTTGAGGAACTCAGTAACCAGATTTTATCTGCACGGAGTTGGTTGCAACAGGAACAAGAACGGATAGAAAAAGAGCTTTTAGAGAAGATTGATCAGCTTTCCTTGGTTGTTAAGGAAAACAGTGTAGGTATTGATGCTTATTAATAACCTAACAAATTTATTCAGTGAAGGCCTATAATGTGTGAATAACACCAAGTAATCGATTGCTTATTTAGCACTACCTAAAACTGTTCAGTTGTTTCTTGCCTTCAAGTCCATTTCCATTGTTCATGTCGATTCTTTGTATTCTTCATAAGGAAAAGGAGCACTTTGATTAGGTTTGGTTAGCAAAAGCTAAGTAGAAAATTTCACTTCTTTCATTTAAGGTAAATTTAAGTCAAGACCTTAATGATCCAAATTGTCCATCTGCATTTCTAAATAAAACAAAGTTGTCAACTTCATCCTGGTTTGTTTTGATTTCATAATCTTGTGGTTTTTTTGTTTGTTTTAGTATTGAGTAGATTTCTCCCTCCAGACCCCTCCATTATACTGTAGGTGCACCAAGAGGTACCACAGTGCAACATGCAAATAGAATCCTTTTTCTTTTCCGTCTTCCTTCTCCTTTTACCCTGGTCTCTCACAGACTTAAGATTTGCAGAACTGTTGGAAACCATATCAAGAAAACCTTGTATATGTAGTATTCAGAATCAGTAGTCTCTCAGACCAGTACTTGGCAAGAACATTTTTGTGGGTTTTGACTATTTAGCGTGACCATTTATTTCCCTTTCCCTTCTCATTCCTTGCATTGCTTCCTCTTGTTGAACTTTATGATTGAACACAAGTGCCTGGTGCAGTTTGCATCTCTGACCATGCTCTCTCCAGATGCAGAGCTGCTGAACTGCAGACTCCACATGAAGCACCATCAAGAGAACTTTGTCAAGCCGTAGCCCACTTGCAGCTTAGTGTTTGTAGTCCTGGCCAACAAAGCTCCATTGCAGACACAGATTCCCATAAAAACCAACTATAGTGGAAAGGAAACAAACGATTTAAAAAATATTTTAATATTTCGAATATTGCCATTAGTATTTTCCATATTTTCATCAGATCTACTGGTTGACTTACTTAGATTCATACTAATATATTTGTAGTAATAATTTTGAGTCTTTGGATCACTGTTTATTTTTACATGCAGATTGGTTTTATAACTAATAGTAAACATCTTGATGATGATGGCTTTAATAAAATAAAAGCTTATTTCTATTTCACATAAAAGAAGTCTGGGTATAGGCACTGTAGGACTGAGGCGATGGCTTGTCAGTCCTCAATGACCCAGGATTCTTCTCGTTTAGCTTTTTGCCAGTCCTGGAGAGTGATCCTCATAATCCAAGGTGGCTGCTAGGGCTCCAGCCATTGTGTCTGAGTTTCAGGAACAAAAGGAAGAAGAAAGGAGCAAAGATGTATGTCAGCTGTCTTTTAACTTTTCCTGGAAGCTGCCACATACACTTATACTTACATTTCATTGGCTAGAACTTAATCACACAGCCACACCAAACTCAGGAGACAGTGGAAAATATAGTCTTTATTCTGGATGACCTGGTACCCAGATGAAAATCAGGGGTCTGTTAAGGAGGAGGAGAATGGATATTGGGGTGGGCTACAAGAAGCCATGGAGTTTTGTTCCCTGCAGATTATTGTTAAATGAGGTGATAGCTGATGTGAATGCCCTGTAGCCTTTAATGCCCTGTAGAGTTTCTTTTTGGAGTAATCACGTGCAGTTCTTATTGTGGATCTCAGGGAGTCACCGAAAGAGATATGGAAAAGAAGCTCAGCCAGATGTCAGCCAGACTTGACAAAATAGAAGAGGGCCAAAGGAAGACTTTCGATGGGCAAAGAACAAGACAAGAAGAGGAGAAACTGCATGGGCGAATCACCAAGCTGGAGTTACAGATGAACCAGAACATGAAGGAAATGAAAGCAGAAGTTAATGCTGGTAGGCTAAATCCAAAACAGCTCACATGGTTTATTTTCTATCTGATCTAAAAGCTTATTAAGGCCAGGCATGGTGACTCATGACTGGAACACCAGCACTTTGGGAGACTGGGGCAGGAGGATCACTTGAGCCCAGGAGTTCAAGACCAACCTGGGCAACATAGCGAGACCCTGTCTCTACAAAATATACAAACGTTATCTGGATATGGTGGTGCACACCGATAGTTACAGCTACTTGGGAGGCTGAGGTTGCAGGATCTCTTGAACCTGGGAGTTATAGGCTGCAATGAGCTATGGTTATGCCACTGCACTCCAGCCAGGATGATAGAGCAAGACTGTCTCTAAATAAATAAATACAATTTATGAATTGGAGAACCTGTAAAGATAAAAATGAATTTTCTTTCTTAGTCTTTTGAAATATTAGAATATGGTATTTGAGGCTGGGCATAGTGACTCTTGCCTGTGATCCCAGCACTTTGGAAGGCTGAGGCAGGAGGATTCTTGAGCCCAGGAGTTTGAAACCAGCCTAGGCAACATAGCGAGACCTCATCTCTACCAAAAAAAAAATTAGCCAGACATAGTGGCACGCAGCTGCAGGCCCAGCTACTCAGGAGGCTGAAGTGGAAGGATTGCTTAGCCCAGGAGGTCGAAGCTGTGCCATGATCGTGCCACTGCACTCCAGCCTGGGTGACAGAGTGAGACCCCAACTCAAAAAAAAAAAGATATTTGTGTATTTCATCTATGTTTAATTTTGTATAATTTCCTTAATGAAATTATTGTCATCTAGCATATCATCGAGGTTGTTAATACCTCCTTATTATTAGGTTGTACCTAATAAGAAAAGCATGTGAGCATTTTAAAAATTAAATCTATTTTTTATTATGAAGGTAATACTTTTTTTATTTTTTTTTTGAGTTGGAGTCTCACTCTGTCGCCCAGACTGTTGCCTCAACCTGCTGGGCTCCGGCGATCCTTCCGCCTCAGCCTTCCAAGTAGTTGGAACTACAGGCGTGTGCTATCATGCCTGGCTAATTTTTGATTTATTGTAGAGATGAAGTCTCACCAAGTTGCCCAGGTGGGTCTCAAACCTGCCGGCTCAGGCAATCCACTCACCTCAGCCTCCCAAAGGCGCGGGATTACAGGCTGAGTCACCGAGCCTGGCTAACACATTTCTTAATGGAAAATTATAAGCACAAAATATTTAAAAAATACTCAAAACTTCTCTTATCAAGAGGTCATTTTTATGTATGTCTTCCTGTACATGTAGGATATTTATGTGTTATTTCAAGTAAAAGTTTATACCATACATGCTGATTTGTAATCTGCTGCTTTATTTGGTAATATGATGTATCTTTTCATGTCAGTAAGAACACTATTTTCTCTTTTAAGAACATTATTTTTAATGAATAATTTTATACTTTTTTTTTTTTGAGTTGAAGTCTCTCTCTGTCGTCCAGTCTGGAATGCCGTGGTACGCTCATGGTCACCCCAGTGTTGATCCCCTGGGCTCCGGCGATCCTTCCACCTCAGACAATTTTATACTTTTTTCATGAAGAAATTTCTAAATTTACTAATGAATATAAGACTTAAAAAACCAATAGAAATGCAGAATAATATAAAATCCTTTTTGGTAGGGGATTTTTCCTTTTTTTTTAGTTTTTTATTTTGGAATAATTTCAACTTTGGGGAAGCCATAATAGTCCACAAATTCTATTTATCCCAGATTCACTAATTGTTAGTGTTTTGGAAATATGCTTCATACCTGTATGTATGAATATAATTTTTTTCTCAATTATTTAGAAATTGCAGAAGTCATGATGTCTTTTTACCCCTTTATTATTTCAGTGTATATACCCTGAGAACAAGGCCATTCCCTTATAAATAACTCTAGTAAAATGTAAGATTAATGAAATTAAAAAAAAAAAATTCAATTTTCAACCTATGCCATTGTTTCATATATAGCAGACCTTCTCCAGTCCAGGTTTTTTTCCAATCACATTTTTAAAAATTTAAACAATTTTTAATATGTATATTTAAGGTGTACAACAAGATGTATGAATATACGTATGCATAGTGAAATGGTTACTATATTCCAGCAAATTAATATACCCATCATCTCAGTTATCCTTTTGGGTGTGTGTATGTGTGTGTGTGTGTGTGTGTGTGTGTGTGTGTGTGTGTGTGTGTGTAAAGGGCACCCAAAATCCACTCTTTTAGCAAAAGTCCTAAATACAATACTCATGCAATATTATTGACTCTAGTCCCCATTCAATATCTAGACTTGTTCATTCTACATATCTGCAATTTATGTCCTTAGATCTGTAGCTCCCCATTTTCTCCTTTTCCCCCACCCCTGGTAACACCATTTTATTCTCTTTGTGTATTTGACTTTCTTTTCTCTCTCTTTTTTTTTTTGTTTCCACATATGAGATCATGCGGTGGTTTTCTTTCTTTGGCTTATTTCACTTAGCATAAATCCTCCAGGTTCATCCATATTGTGACAAATGACAAGACAGCTTTCTTTTATAAGGTGAATAGTATTCATTGTATATCTATGAGGGGGGATAACAAAACGATCCAGAATTTATTTATAAAAAATCATGTATTTATTTTTACATGTTTAGACTTCAGGCACCTTCAAAGTACTCTCTGTTTGATGCATACACCTATTGAGATGCTTTTTCCCTGCTCAGAACAGTTTTTGAACTTGTCAGTTTTGATGCTTCTAGTGTTTTGATGCTGTTTTTTGTTTCACCTCTTCCACATGGGCAAAACGTTTCCCTTTGAGGACCTTCTTCACCCAGGGTCACAAAAATAAGTCGCTCTGGTCAAGAATAAGTGAATAGGGAGTGTGGCGCATGGGGGTCATGCTATTTTTGATAAAAAACTGCTGAACACTCAGTGTGGTGTGGGCAGATTGTTTGTGTAAATCACCCATCACGAAATGGGCAAATACTTGAAAGAATCTCCAAAAAATTTCCACTGAAGCCAAATGCAGCCTCTCATGACAACACGCTAGCTAATACACTGATGCTGATGGGTTCCCAGAACACTTACCTAGTGGGGGGGAAGCCTGTACTACAAGGGGCCTGCCCCCAAATAGTAATTCTGTCTTTTTTTTGTTTTCCCCTCATATATCACAGTTTCTTTATCCACTTATCTCTTGATGGATTCTTCTGTTGTTTCCATATGTTGGCTATTGTAAATAATGCTGCAGTGAACATGGGAATACAGATAGCTTTATGAGGTAGTAATTTAATTTCCTTTGGGTATATATCCAGTAATAGGATTTCTAGGTCATATGGTAGCTCTATTTTTAATTTCAGTAGGAACCCCCATACTGTTTTCCACAATGGCTGCACCATTCTAAATTCCTACCAACAGTGTACTCCAAGGGTTCCTTTTTTTCCCCACACCCTCACAACACTTGCTAGCTTTTGTCTGTCTCTCTCTCTGTCTCTTTTTTTTTGGAGTTGGAATCTCACTTCATCGCCCAGAAGGCAGTGTAGTGGCACGCTTCTGGCCACTGCAGCCTCGACCTGCTGGCCTCTGGCGATGGTTCCACCTCATCCTTCCAAGTAACCGGAACCACAGGTGCGCTACCACACCCGGCTAGTGTCTCTCTCTCTTTCTTTTTTAAAAATGATAATAGCCATCCTAACAGGTGTGAGGTGATATCTCATTGTGGATTTTGGTTTTGATTTGCATTTTCCTTGTGATTAGATATGTGGAGCACCTTTTCATATACCTGTTGACCAATAGGGTTCAGAATTCATTATATTTACTTGTCATGTTTCTTAATTTATTTTATTTTATTTTTTGAGTCAGGGTTTCACTCTGTTGCCCAGGCCGTAGTGCAGTGGCCACAATAATTATGGCTCATGGCAGCCTCGACCTCCTGGGCTTAGGTGATCTCTCCACTTCAGCATCCCGAGTAGCTGGGACTATAGGTGCACACCACCATGCCAAGCTAATTTTTTCATTTTTTGGAGAGACGAGGTCTCACTATGTTACCCAGACTGCTCTTGAACTTCTAGGCTCAAGCAATCTGCCTGCCTCGGTCTCCTGAAGTGCTGGGATTATAAGCGTGAGCCAAAATACCTCGGCCTAGTTGTCATGTTTCTTTCTTTAGTCTCTTTTAATCTTGATCCGTTCCTCAGTGACCTTGACATTTTTAAAGAATACAGGCCAGTTTTTCTAAAACATCTCTTAGTTTAGGTTTGTTTGCTTCCTCTTGATGTGATTCAGGTTGTGCATTTTGGACAGAAAAACCACAGAAGTGATGCTGTGTCCTGTCCAGGGCCTCTTATCTGGAGGCACATGACAATTTCTCCCAGTGTTGGTAATGTTAGCTTTGATCACTTGGGTTTTTTTTGAGTTGGAGTCTCACTCTGTCGCCCAGACTGGAGTGCAGTGGCCACTCCTGGCCAGCGCAGCCTCGACCTGCTGGGCTCTGGTGATCCTTCTGCCTCAGCCTTCCAAGTAGCTGGAACTACAGGCGCACACTACCACGCCCGGCTAATTTTTTGATTTATTGTAGAGATGAGGTCTCACCAAGTTGCCCAGGTGGGTCTCGAACCCACAGGCTCAGTCAGTTCACTCACCTCGGCCTCCCAAAATGCGGGATTACAGGCTGAGTCACTGAGCCCGGCTTGATCACTTGGTTAAAGTGGTATATGGCAGATGTGTCCATTGTACTCATTTCAGGAGTTCCTTGTGCCCTTTTGCCATTAAAAAGTAATCTTTAGAAAGAGACTATGAAACTCACCTGTTCCCCCTCAAACTTTTACCCCAGGCATCTATTAATAACTTTTGCCAGAATCAGTTATTACTTTTTGCTAAGATATGGATACAGCATTGTTTTAAAAATATTAACTGCTGTGAAATTTGCCTCTCCTTAAAGGGTTTACAGCTATCTATGAAAGCATAGGATCCCTCAGGCAAGTTCTCGAGGCCAAGATGAAGTTGGACAAGGACCAGCTCCAGAAGCAAATCCAACAGATGCAGAAGCCAGAAACTCCCATGTGAAGGGAATTGGGACAAGGACCTAAAAGAAAGTTTTGCCCGTGGGTCTAGAAGCTAGATACCTCTGTAGCCAGGTCGTCGCTGCATTCAGGATGGTTCCATCCATGGCGTGCATGTGCCAAGAATTGTGTTTTCATGAGTCTAAATGTTTACCTTGAGTCTTGGAAACACTACTCCTTTAAAAGTATGGAATACACATTTTACCATTTTATTTCTCTTCTCTAAATTCAATGGAATTCTGCCCCTGCCCTGGATTTCGAAAGGCTTTTATCTTCTTCATGTTATGAATGGAAAGACAACAATTTTTCTTCAATGCTTGATGCTGTACCCAAGACTGTTTACTATCTTGAGAAATGTCATGGTGATTTTTTAAAATTAAGAAACCAATGAATTGTCACAGGAATGTGTTGCTCCTCACCCCAAATTAAGAGACTGTCCCAGTAGATTAGAATTCAACCTTTGAGTCCATACTTGGATTTTATTATTGTTGTCTATGCATTTCTTATATTGGTTATCTCCCTGTAAATCTTTTGTCTTTTGTAAGGTGAAAGGATTTGATACTTGGAAGAAACCCCACCAATTATGTAATGAAAATAGTTTAGCAATTCATAACTGCCATATAGATTGCAAATTAAATGGAAACTTACTTAGATGATGTAAGGCAAAATATCTTTATCGACCACCTAGATATATTAGGTTTTAATACTTAAAATATTTTTGGATTATCCACAGCCTGTGTAGTAATAGCCATATATTTAACAACAGAATGGTGGTTAATAGTCTATTCACTATTCGTAACAGAATGTTATAATTTTTCTGACTTTATGATCTCACTAAATGTTTCCAAGATTGGCAAAAATGCTAAGGTTTAAATATACTTGTTGTAACTGTATTCTTGTGCCTTGGTTTTATCATGTCAATGCACTGTACCCTATAAAAATTTTGCAGGCAAAATAGCAGGCATGATATGGGATCCTCTGTATTTTTTAAATGTTCTAAAAATTTTATCACTGTTGAGACATTAATTGTTCAGTATTATTAATGGAATAGAAATTCACACTTTTGTATGGACAAATAATCAAATTGATATTGCATTTATAACACTGTCAAGAAACTTTCCTCTTGAGCAACTTTGTAGATGATGGTTGTTTTATTTTCAATCGCCATATTTGACTAGTCAGTGAAAATTGACTCCAGTGCCGTCTGTTCACCTCTGTATGTAAAAACTGATAGTGAAACACACCGTTTTAAACTGTGAGGGTGCCCCAGGAAGAAGAAAAACAGAAACATTTAGAAAATTTAAAATAATTTTTTTTCCGCCAAGGACTCAGGAAAAAAAGCACATTTTCTATTTTTAGGATAAAGCAGAAATGAAATTTCTAACTGGCTTTTACTGTTTACCCACATAAAGTACGCTGCTAAAGTATGTAATATTTTCCTCTCAATGGCTTGACAAATTTTTAAAAATTTGGATATGAGAGGTTATAAAGGAATATGTCATTCAACACATATTTTCTTATTTTGTCACAAATTTCCATTTAACAAAGAAAAAAGAGGTTAATGCTCTTTTGCAATCAGAAAGTGAATTTCCTTTTTTTTTTCTTTTCTGTTTTTGAGACAGGTTCTCACTCTGTCACCCAGGCTGGAGTGCAGTGGTGCCATCATAGCTCACTGCAGCCTCAGCCTCCTGGGCTCAAGTGATCCTCCTGCCTCGGTCTCCCAAAGTGCTGAGATTACAAGCGCACCCAGCCAGAAAGTGAATTTCTTTTTGTTACAGAGTAACCGTTTCGTGTGGTTCTCCACATTTAAGCACAAGCCACAGCACAGAAAGCCACACCCCTTTCAGCATCTCGCTCCTCTGGAGTCTCTGAGAAAGAAGAATGAGCACATCTGACACCTGAAAAGAGGGAGGCAGGCAGGGGACACCAGCTGGACTCTGGCTGAGGGGTGATATAAGCCGGTGACACTCGGTTGTCAGCTGAACTTCTCAGGTGCTTCTGATGTTGCCAGCCCCATGTGATAAACTACCACACGGGTTCTCCACCTTGGCTACATGTTGGAATCAGAGGAATGTGAGAAGCTGTTGATGCCCATCTGACCCCCCAGACCAATTAAGTCAGAACTCTGGGAGGTAGAAGCGCAGGCATCAGTGTGTATAAAAGGCCCCCGGGTGTTTCCATGTGCAGCGGAGGCGGTGATGAGCTACAGCGCAGTACTCTTCTCACCAAAGTTTCCATGAGATTCAGCTTCCGTGTTCTTTCCTCTACCAGAAATTTGCAATAAAAAAACCAAAATTTTCAAATACATGTGGTGTATGATTCTTAAATGTAAAAATCTTTTAGCTTTGAGGTGAAAACTTAATTAAGCAAAATGCCATAGGAAATATTTCTTTGTGTTCCCTGGAAACCCTTTGATGGTTGAAATAAAGTGCAGAAGTCCTGGCAGGCCCTCTGGGAGTTGGAGTGTCATCAGATCTGCTCTGTCTGTTTTTCTGGGGCCATGGGGTCTTTGCCGCTGCCTTCTTGCCACTGGAATAACACCAAATGTCAGTCCCTGCATGTGTGCTGTGTGCCTGTGCTGTGACCCCTGTGTCTGTTAACTCATTTCATCTTAGCAACTGGTTGTGTTAAATACTGTTTCCCCATTTTATAGATGAGAAAACTGAGTCACTTAAAGGTCAAGCCACTTGCCCAAATCCTACAGCTGATACGTGGGAGTCATTAAAACCAGGCAGCCTGCTTCCACAGGCTGGGTATGTCATGTCACTGTTACACTGCACTACCTCTAAAGACACATGCTGACTTCCCACAAAATTCTGACTTGCTAGGCTATTGACTCCAGCCCCGCCTCTGTATGAGCTTAATGTTCTGTCTTCTGATTACCCTTGCTTTTTAGTGCCCAATTCCAGATACTTAAAGAGGCAATCTTATTAGCTTTGCTTGGATCAGATGTCATCCTCTGGTTGTATCACTGGAACCATGGGAGGTGGCGTCAATTGGTGCCACAGGACTGTAGGATCACAGGCGTTTCATTCCCTGTGCTTGGGCCATCCTAGTTAGTGGCTTGTGGCTCTATATAAGAAGAGATGGATTGAGCTGGGGGAGTGTGGAGCAGAATAGAGAAGATGGCTCCCTCCAAATCTTGATTATCCCGCTAGGCTTTCCACCTGATATAAATAAATAAATAAGTCAGAAACCATTTGTGACATCCTGGAAACTCAACAGTAACTAGATGGAGTTTTTTCTGTCACCATCTTCATCTAGTTGTGTGACCTTGGGTTGTCTCTGAGTCTTAGTTGTCTTATCTGCAAAATGGAAATTATAATAAATTAAAAGAGGATGCATATTTATAATCTTCAAAATACCTAGGTAGTTCATACATTATTAGGCATCAAATAGTGGAAACTGGAGTAAGGCAAAGGAGATATTGATAATGTGACATAGACAGCACACGGGCAGGTATTTCCTTTCAGTGTTCCATTATCTGCTGGGCCACATTTGAGAAGTAACTCTAATCTCCAAAGAAAATGATAACCCAGCCTGAGACACAGGAGGGCAGTGGAGCCTGGATGAAGAGAAACGTAGACAGGACCAGAAGGGAGACAGACCCTGAATGTGGGTGAGGGCTGGACAGAACCTCAGCTGGTCAGTCTTATAACTGGAGCAGGCAGGCCTTCCCCAGGCCTGGGCCTGGAGTCCAGCACTGAGAGGGTGGGGTCAGAACTGGAGTGAAGGTAAGCTCCACGTCAGCAGGAATGGAGGCTGAGGATGCAGAGGCCAGAGTTCAAGTTGGGAAATCACATGCAGGGTAGGAGATGCTGCAGTCTGAATGCCCAGCTGGCATTTGAAATGTACACTGAAGAGCTTGTGTGGGCCAGTCTGGTCTGACATGCAGTTGTGCCTTGCATGCCCATGGTTGTCGGCTCCATAGTCAGGAAATCCCAGTCGTTGAATGCAGAACCTCACGGAACAGCAATATCAGCTGTATAGAACAACACTGAGGAAAATGTACAGGAGATTATATTTCTCATTCATGGGTTTAGTTAATCTCCTATCATTCCTAGAAATTCAGAGTTAAAGGACCTTTCTAGCTATCCTTCCATATAATTACTGAGCTGCAGGCCCACCTGACTTCTAGAGTCAAGATTCTGACTGTAGTGGGCCAGTTGTAAAATGTCCTCCAGTGATCTCACCTCCTGGTGTTCCTCCCCTTGTGTGATTCCCCTACCCCTGAGTGCATGCTGGACTCACTTCTCATGAAGAGAATGGCCAGAGTGATGCCTTGTTGCTTCTGAAATTAAGTCACAAAGAGACTGTAGCTTCCTTCTTGCTTTCTCTCTTTCTTCTCAGTTACACTGGTGGATACAAGTTTCCAAGTTGTAAGTAACCAATTGAGAGGGTCATGAGGTATAACCAGGGACTGAGGCCCCCAGTGCAGTAGCCCAAAGTGAACTGACGTTTTCCAATAATCATGTGGGGCAGCTTAGAAGTAGATCCCCCTACCCAAAAGATGGAAAGGCAGGCACCCAAACAGATATGTACATCCATGTTCACAGCAGCATTACTTACAACAGCCAGAAGTCTATCAACAGATTAATGGATTAATCCATGAATGGATTAATGGATAAACAAAATGTGATTTATACGTACCATGGAATAGCATTTCACCTTAAGAAGGGATGAAATTCTGACACATGCTACAACATGGATGAACCTTGAAGATACTATGCTAAGCGAAATAAGCCAGTCACAAAAGTACAAATGTATAATTTCATTTATATGAGGTGCCTAGAGTAGTCCAATTTCTAGAGACAGAATAGCATGATGGTTTCTAGGGTTGGGGTGAGAGGAAAATGGGAGTTAGTGTTTAATGGGTAGAGTTTCAGTTAGGGAAGTTGAAAACATTCTGGAGGTGGATGTGGTAATGGTTGCACAACAGCATGGATATACTTAAAGACACATAACTGTATACTTAAAAGTGGTTAAGATGGTACATTTTTTGTATATCTTACCAAAATATATATTTTTAAAAGGAACAGAAAAAGAAGTGGATTTCTCCAAGCCCCAGTTGAGCCTTCTGGTGAGACTGCAGCCCTAGCAGTTTCACTACAACCTCACAAGAAATGCTGAGCCAGAGGCATCTGGCTAGGCCCTAAGCATACTGATCTATAGAAACTGTGAGATAATAAATATTTGTTGTTTTAAGTCACTCAAACTTGGGGTAATTTGTTATTCACAGCAATAGATGACAAACACTAGCACCAGGAATCCTGACAGATTTATGCTGTAAAAATGCTTATTTCTGGGTGTACTGCAAGTTACATGTCCATATATATCATCTCATTTAATGCACTTTGTGAGAAGGAAATTACCTTTACAAAACATACCAAATGACATATATATCTTGTCACATTGAATCTTTGTAATTACCCTACTTAGTATGTACTGTTGTTTCCATTTTGTGGATGGAACAGAGAAATTAAATATTCCAGGAGGAGAGATTTAAATCCTTATCTATGCCTCCAAAGCTCAGAATGCCAGTGACTGAAATGTAAAGTGTTTTGTCCAAGGTCCCACAGCTGTTTGGAATCAGAATACCGTCTAGCTCAGTGGTCCTCAAAGTGTCCACAGACCAGCAGCGTAAGCATTGCCTGGGAGCTTGGTAGAAGTCTAAATGCTCAGGTTCCACCCAGATCTACTGAATCAGAAGCTCTGAGGATGGGCTCAGCAATCCATTTTAATGAGTCCTGCAAATGACTCTAATGTAAGGCAGAATTTGAGAACTGCTGCATTAATAAGTTCATTGGTCTTTAAATTTTTTTTTTCTTTTTACAGTAGGAATGGCCTTTATTGGTTGCAGCGGGAAGTGGAAGAGAAGAAATGGCAGCTCCTGCTCCTGATACAGCATCTGCAGACTGGGTCGCTGTCCTCCCAGTCTCTAAATTTTTTTATACCTATTATGTCATGAATTCACAGGGAACAGGTTCCAGCCTCTCAGACTCCTTTCCATTGGTTCTCATAAAATATGGTTTTCTGGGTGGAGAATGTTGGCACGTAAGTTGAACCTGGGTACATTTCTCTTTGGCTTTCTTCTGTTTCTGGTCATTTTTCTTCATGCCTTCAGGGAAGCTATCTTGGCTGAGTGCCTCACAGTTTTCCATGGTAAAATTTGCAGGGCATTCTGTTTGAGCAGTACCCATTCCCTTAATGTCTGCAACATCACCTGGTAGATTCACATGCACGTGGCCACAGGAATGACTCTCTGTGACTAAAAGGCCTAGAGAACATAAAGCAGGTGATTCTCCTCTTTCCCTTTGTATTTGTTGTTTTGGCAAATTACTAGAAGATGACAGTTCCAGCCAAAAGAAAACATGTGACTATTTAAATTTAAATTAATCAGGATTAAACGTATTTTAGAATTCAGTTTCACAGTTGTACAAGCCACATTTCAAGTGTTCAATAGCCTTGTGTGGCTACAGTATTGTCCTGTGCAAATATGGAAGATTTGTTTTCTTTCCAAGTTGGCATTAAAACATTTTTAATTTAATTTAATTTTAATTTTTTGAAGGTGTTGT